AGACTTACACAGCCACAGGCAACCTTATGTAAGTAGCCTCATTCCATGCATGTGGGCTTAACCTCTTCCGCATTCCACCCCCTGCCCCAATGCATGGAACACTAGGGTTGTTCTTGGAAGAGCTGTCTGCACTCCTAGACTGCACTCCTAACCTTCACAACCACAGATGCCTACGTCCATCTAATTGCTCCAGCCCCTGCTTCTCAATGGAAACCACTCTGGTCACCAACGGCTTCCCTGTAGCTAAGTTGGAAGTTTGGGGCACTGCCTCAAGGCTTCAAGATGATAAAGCCTGGAACTGAGAGGCAGGGACAACCCTGGGTTCTGGCATAGGTTCCCCCTCTAGCAGACCACCTTGTTGGGCCTCTCAGAAGTATCTGTCACCACTAAGTGCCACCTTCATGCGACATTCTCCTTGATTCTCTGCCATCATGCTCCTCTAGGGTGCGCTACCACGCCCCCACCATCCCCCAGCCCCACCCCAGTCCAGCCTCCTTTCCGGACACTTCTACATCTCATCTGTTCTTTAAAAGTCAGTGTTCTTGGGTAGCCTCGGGTGGCTCAGCGGTTGGGCGCCGCCGCCTTCAGCCCAGGGTGTGATCCTGGAGACCTGGGATCGAGTCCCACGTCGGGCTCCCTGCATGGGGCCTGCTTCTGTCTCTGCCTCTCTCTCTCTCTCTCATGAATAAATAAATAAAATCTTTAAAAAAAAAATAAAAAAATAAAAGTCAGTGTTCTTAGCCCTGGACTCACCTTTTATCTTCTGTCGTCTTTCCAGGTGATCTCAATCTCATTGCCTGTGACTCTAAAATCCCTATCTCTACCCAGATGTCTCTAGAGCCTCCCACCTGGCTGTTTTTGCCTGCCTCCCTACCTCACACTCAACTTACGACTGAAAACATAACAGCCCCCACCAACCCTGCCTTCTAGTGACCTCTACCTCATGGGAAGCCTGTCCATGCATACAGACTTCCAGGCTGTGTCCCCTTCCTGCCTCTGTGAAGCTTTACCACCCTGGCCTTCCCCCTGGCTCCCCACATTTGTTCCCAGCCTGGGCAGCCCCATTGAGTCCCCTCCAAGCTCCAGTTCCTCCTGTGCTCTGGGCCTAGATGTCCTCCCCTTTCCAGGACCTAGGTTCTAGAGCCTTTCCAGCCCAGCCTGCCACCATTGTTCTGTTTGAACCTGTAGGTGTGTGTGCAGTGGGATTTTGGGAAAATAACTATCATTTAAGCATTTCACTAAAGAAAAAAAGCACTGAAGAAAATACCTTTTGGGGGCATGTGGGTGGCTCAGTTGGTTAAATGTCTGCCTTTGGCTCAGGTCATGATCCTGGGGTCCTGAGATTGAGCTCCACATGGGGCTCCCTGCTCAGTGGGGAGTCTCCTCCTCCCTCTGCCTGCCACTCCCTCTGTTTGTGCTCTCTCTCTGTCAAATAAAGAAATAAACCTTGGGATCCCTGGGTGGCGCAGCGGTTTGGCGCCTGCCTTTGGCCTAGGGCACAATCCTGGAGACCCGGGATCGAATCCCACGTTGGGCTCCCTGCATGGAGCCTGCTTCTCCCTCTGCCTGTGTCTCTGCCTCTCTCTCTCTCTGTGTGTGTGTGACTATCATGAATAAATAAATAAAATCTTTAAAAAATAAAATAAAATAAATTTTAAAAAAAGAAATAAATCTTAAAAAAAAAAACATACCTTTTGAGTGTTGAAAGGATTTTCTAATGCTTCAGATCATTTCATTTGCACCACCCTCCCCCCACCCACCGCCACCACAAGGTCAGTGATATGGGGCTGCTTAAGTCTGGAGTTAGACAACACTTTGATTTTTTTTTTTTTAAGATTTTATTTATTTATTCCTGAGAGGCAGAGACACAGGCAGAGGGAGAAGCAGGCTCTATGCAGGGAGCTTGACGTGGGACTCGATTCCGGGTCTCCAGGATCAGGCCCTGGGCTGAAGGCGGTGCTAAACCACCGAGCCACCTGGGCTGCCCTGATTTTTTTTTTTTTCTCTAAGATTTTATTTACCTATTTGTCAGAGAGAGAGAGAGAGAGAGAGTACAAGCAGGAGGAGCAGCAGAAGGAGAGGGAGAAGCAGGCTCCTGGCTAAGCAAGGAGCCTCAATCCCTCAATCGTGGGATCATGACCTGAGCCAAAGGCAGATGGTTTAAGCTACTTGAGCCACCCAGGTGTCCCAGACACCACCTTTATTTAAAGACCAGCGCTGCCAGTTGCCAGCTGTATGATCTTAGACACATCACTTAAACTGTCTTAGTGTCCCTATCTTTAAAATGAGGATAATGAGGAGGCTCCTGGCTTGCTCATTCAGTAGGACATGTGACTCCTGATCTCAGGGTTATAAGTTTAAGCCTCACATTGGGCATGGAGCCTACTTTTTTAAAAATGAAGATGATGCTAGTACCTACCTCATTGAGGGGATTTCCTGTGAGGTGATGCATGTCAAGTGCTTGGCACATACTAGGTGCTTTAGAAATGTAGGTGGTTTTGGCTGAGAACATTGAGATTCTAGGAAGGGAAATGTCCCCATCCTAAGTTGTAGCCAATACAGTTACCTAGTATAAATCACAGCTAGAAAGTCACTCCCTCATTTCTGGAAAGAGGACTGGCATTATTGGGAGAATCTGACTTTCGTGTTTCCCCAGGCTCAAGGCCTATATCCTCCAAGTCAGGTCCTGGATCACAGGGTCGAGTCCTAAACTAGGGCCCCAGAAGTGGGCCTGCCACAGGCACTCCTTCCTCTGCTTCACTGACTTTGGGTGGATTAGTCTCCCCTCTGAGCCTCGGCTCCCTTTCCTATAAAATAAAGTTTTCAACTGAATGATGGGGGCAGGGTGTGGAGAGGTATCTTTTCCTTAAATCCCTGATGAAGTATGAGTGACATTGGATTATGTAAAGATACTCAACTAGAGGCCAAGATTCAGAGACCTCTTAACCCCCTGGAACTGTGTGCAAGATTGTATATGTGACATGTATGTACACGTGTGTGAACATTTTTATCTGAGCATGTTTTGGGAATAGCTCTATCTTTGTGAAGGAGGTCTGTGATCCCAGAAGAGTAGTCACCGACCTAGTTCAGACCTTTTTTTTTTTAAAAAAAGATTTTATTTATGTATTCATGAGAGACAGAGGCAGAGGGAGAAGCAGCAGGCTCCCTATGGGGAGCCTGATGCGGAATTTGATCTCAGGACACCCCCCCACACACACCATCACAACCTGAGCCAAAGGCAGATGCTTAACCACTGAGACACCCAGGTGCCCCTGGTTCAGACCTTCTATCTGAACTATAGATATATTTCAGACTATATCAAGATCTGATATATATGGGCAGCCCTGGTGGCACAGCAGTTTAGTGCTGCCTGCAGCCCAGGGCATGATCCTGGAGACCCTGGATCGAGTCCCACGTCAGGCTCTCTGCATGGAGCCTGCTTCTCCCTCTGCCTGTGTCTCTGCCTGCCTCTCTCTCTCTCTCTCTCTCTCTCTCTGTCTCTATGAATAAATAAAGTCTTTTTTTAAAAAAAAGATCATATATATATATATATATATGACTATAGCAAGAGCCTCCAAACTGGTCTCCCTACTCCTTTGTTCCTTAAACGTGTCCTCCACCTATCACACAGGGTATCATTCCTTTGTTTGAATCTTTCTTTTGGCCTTAGTGGCAAAAAGAAATGCATAGTATTTAAAGACATTCATAATCTTACCCAGCCTGGTTCCCACACTCATATCCTGACACACCCTAATCTATTTCCTCTGTCCTCAGCCCCTCTGTGTACCCTCCTGCCCTGGCTACAGGGAACGTTTCACTGCTTCCTGAATGCATCAAGCACTTTCACATCTCTCTTCCTTTGCAGGAGCTTCCCTGTACTTCATCTGGCAAACCCTCGTGTGCGCTTCAAAATCCAACTCAGGCGTCCCACCCCTTTGTGATGTCTCCCCGACACCTCCTCCAAGTGAATCACACCCTCTGTGCTCCAACTCCTGTGCTTAGAGTCGCATTTATCCCACCGTACTGTAATTATGTGTTTGAGTGTCTGTCTCCCCAAGCAGATATGAAGTTCTCCCAGCAGAGAAACCAAGTTTCTGACTCACGTTTGGAGCCTCGGTACCCAGCACGGGGCATGGCACCACATGTGTACGGGTAATGGCTATCTAAAATGAGTCAGTAAGTTAATGAAGGAGTAAGTCAGTGTGTGAACAGACCAAGAAGGAAGAATAGATACACCTGAACTGGTGCGCGTGGGATTGGGTCCCGCCCCGCCCCCAACACATGGAACTACACTTCCCAGAAGACCCCGCGACCTGGGCATGCGCACTGGAGCGCTAGGAAGCTGCGACGCCGAGTTTCACTCTGGCTGCCTCTTCGGAGTCGGAGCTTCAGCCCGAGCGGTGCCCAGGCCGGCCCGAGCTGCAGCCCCAGCGCGGCGGTGCCCTCACCCGGCCCCCTCGTCTTCCTCAGCCTCGGTGAGAGGGGCGGGCGGGCCACCTGCCCGTCGCCAGGGCTGGGGTCCCGGGGACGCGGGGGGGACTGAGCCGAACTGGGACCGGAAGGGGGCGGGCGTGGGACTGAGGGAGGGCTGGGCCGGGCCGGGGAAGAGCCCCGTGGTGAGGTCCGGGGGGACTGGGAGGACCCGCCGCGGGGCTGGACCGGGGCCGCGGCCGCCGGCGGCGGGAGCTGGGAGAATCCGACGCGCTGGCAGCTTTGGGACGGGTCTGGGTGCGAGGGTGAACGCCCGGTGGGAGCCGAAGGGCTGGCAGGGGGAGGGGCGCAGACCCCGGGAGTTTGGGGCCGTGGCGAGGAGGACACCCCTTCCCACAGGAGCGGGCGGAGGCGCTGGAGATCCTGTCACTGGGCTCCGGGGCTCGCGGGGTCGATTCTGCTGGGTTCTGGCTTCGGGCGGACGACTTGCTGCGGCCCGGGGCTGTACTTTTCGAAAGAGTTTGCCCCCAAACTCTGCTTCCCATGCCTCAGGTAGGGGTCGCCCTCCGGGAAACTCCGGTTTCCTGGGGGCCCTGGGTTCCTTTTGAGGGTTGCGTAATGTACGTTGGAGAGGATTTAGACGACTTTTTTTTTACTTTTCTGAACCTGCCCTGTCGCCCGCTCCGCTCCCCTCCAACCAGCTGCTCCCTTCCACACTGGTTCCACTTCCCTAAGTGCCAGTAACAGTGGAAATAGTGTGTGCACGCACAGGCTCCTGGACCGTTAAGAATTAATTCAAGAGTACTTCTGCCTGCTATCCTATCCTAGCTCCTCTAGAGTTCTAGAAGGTCGACGTTGTGGTAGCCAAAATCGGGCTTTACCCTCACGGTAACTATAACTGGGCCTCTTACTCATTTGCTGCGTGACCTTGGCCAAACTTTTACCTTCTCTGGTGTGTTAATCTCCTGGATTCTTACGCTGCAGACTGACTTAGGAAGCCCATTCAGGCCTTTACGTGAAAGAGCTGAGGTGTGTGTGTGTGTGTGTGTTTGTTTCCACCATCCCCTTGATTATCGAGTGGGTAGAGGGAGACTGTTGTACCTTCTGTCCTGCCCAGGCTGTTGAAAAATAAATCTGGTGGTTTCCAGTCCCCGGCCGCAGCGCACAGACCCAACATCTGTGCATTCGTTTTCACTGACTGCTGTTTCTCAATTTAAAACCTGATCATCTTTTTCCTTGTTGGCAAAGGTGCCCTGGAATTTGTGTTGCTGAGTCAGCAAGGCTTTCCGATTTGCTCGGTTTTTGTTGTTTGCATTTTATATCAAGATGGGAACTCAAACAAGTCATTCCTCCTAAGGATCTAGTGTCTCTGTCAAGAAGGGACAGTTTGTGCCAGCTCTCCAGAGAGAAAAGGTAAGAGTGACAGGGACTTTACATTGCTGCCTTCTGGATCTGGTTTTCAGTAGAAGAGGTGGAGACTGGGGAGGGTGAAATTTGAGGTCTCCCGGATGAAAGTCAGCCTTGGGAGTTGATTGTTGATTGCCAACTGTCTCAAATAAAGTCAAGTGCTTTCTTGCCAAGGGTTTCTTCTGTTTAACCAGTCTTAGAGGATGCTTTACACATGGTTTTCACTTAAGACATGCTTTATTGGGTGAAGGACACAAGTCATGATTTCTGTATCTGAGCTGGAAATTTTTATTTCTTTTGTTGCCCGCACAAAACTGGGTGCCTTCTTTGTGTCAGGCCCCATGCTCAATGGTGGGGCACAGTGATGAGTGAGAAGAGCTCTGTCATCTGGGAGCTCATCATTTGGTGGAATGGACTGTCCGTTCCTAGACAGACCCTAGACAGTGGCAAGGAGTTGTTGGTGTGCTATGTGTTGAGGTGGGAGGAATCACAGGGCAGAGCCCCAGCCCCTCGACCCTGTTTGTCCAGGAAGGGATAGGAGGGAAGGTCAGCAAGCTTCTAGAAGAACATAATTGAGGTGAGTTGTGAAGGACTTGAAAAGGAGAGCAGAAGCCTGGCAGAGGAGTGGGCATCTGCAGAGTCCAGAAGTTACCTGGTACGCATGGGCCAATGTAAGTAGCTCTATGTGGCTAGAGCGACAGGGATGGGTGTGAGGTGGAGGAGGCTGGTTAGGTAGGCAGAGGGAAAGTGTGGATGGTTTTGTGGGCCACACTAAGGCTCTGGGAAGCAGGATTTTAGCAGAATTCCATGAGGGCATTTTAAATGAGCACACTGGCTAGAAAGTATGAATGGATTAGACTGGATTATTCTCTTTGTGACTGTTTCCTTACACCATGCCAGCTTTTGATAGAGGGAGAGTTAGATATAGATGTTGCCCTCAGTTTCTTCATAGTCTCCTTGAAGAGATAGAATGGACATAGAGAACTGTAAAGGGCAGGCAAGTGCTGTGGAAGTTGAGAAGAGGGTGTTTTCTTTCAGTTGGGCGTCTCGAAGCATCATGGAAGTACGTTTAAATTGGGTCTTGAAAGGAAGTCTGGGTGGCCCAGTCTGTTGAGCGTCTGCCTTTGACTCAGGTCATGATCCCGGGGTCCCAGGATTGCTCACTGGGGAGTCTGCTTCTCTCCTCCCCCCCCCCCCCCCGCCCCATGCTTGTGCGTCCTCTCTTGCTCAGTCTTTCTCTCAAATAAATAAAATCTTAAAAAAAAAAATTGAGTCTTGAACGTATGGGTTAGGTGAGGATGTGTGGCCAGATGGGTGGGATTCTTCGTAGAGCTGAGGCATGGGGGGGTGGGGAACTGGATGTATGTAGGGGTAGCAGTTGTCACTTAAACTCTTGGGGAATGGATTGGGGAAAAGGAGGTGTAGACAAAAAGAAGGTATTGAAGGCAAGTACGCTGGCAAATACTGTTGATAGGGATGAATCAGATTGTGATGGGCTTTCAGTGTCAACCCAAGGAACTTGAAATGTATTCGGAAAGTATACTTTGGGAGGCTCTATATTGTACCTGCCTCTCAGGTGAACCAGGAGAGAGAGTTGGAGAAGCCAGTTGGAAAAGAATACTTGTCAGTGTGAGAGGCACTTAGATCCCAAGCGGATGCTGGCAGTAGGGGCTGAGGAGGTGAGGACGGAAGAGAATGCAAGCCGTGGTGGCGGCTGTGGGTGAAAAGTTGTGAGGAGCTAGAAACCCAGGTTTTTCTCCTAATTGCCGGGGGCCAGGGAATCCAGGGAAAGCAGAATTAAGAAGGAAGGTGAGGGGTGCCTGGGTGGCTCAGTGGTTGAGCAGCTGCCTTTGGCTCAGATTGTGATCCCAGGATCCTGGGATCAAGTCCCATATTGGGCTCCCTGCGGAGAGCCTCTTTCTCCCTCTGCCTATGTCTCTACCACTCTCTGTGTCTTTCATGAAAAAATAAATAAAATATTAGAAAAAAAAAAAAGGGAGGTGAGTTTGTCTTCAGACATCTGGGGGAAGGTGCCAAAGAAGCCAACAGGAATGGGGCCATGGGCTCCACAGAAACTGTGTACCAGGACTAGTGCTTGGCAGTTGATGTAAGATGTGTTTAATTTTTACCTCAGGTAAACACAGAGCTAGATTAATACACACTAATCACTATTCATGTGTGGCTTGCTTTTATTTATCTCCTAAGTTTTTTTTTTTTTAATAAAAGATTTTATTTGAGAGAGGGTAAGAACACTCAGAGTGAGCATGAGAAGGGGGGAGGGGCAGAGGGAGAAGCAGCCTCCCTATTGAGCAGGGAGCCTGACTTGGGACTCAGGATTTGATCCCAGGACCCCTAGATCATGACTCAAGCTGAAGGTAGATGCCCCTCTAAGTGACTTTTAATGAATGTAGTAAACTCTTGCATTCCAATCACCTGAAGCAAAAGCTTGAGAGGGAAATATATGTATAATCATTTGGTCTTTCTCCCCATCCTGAGATAGCCATCATCCCCTAGCTTTGTGTTTATATATTGTACCTATGTGTTTCTAAGGAAAGTAAAAAAAATATTGCTGAGATTTATCCATATTATCGCATGTCATCTAGTTCATTTGTTTTCACTGGTGAATAATCCATGGAGTGAATACACTACAGTTCAGGCATCTAATCTTCCACTGATGGGCACTTAGTTGTTTTCCAGATTTTTCCTATTGCAAATCTGCTGCTCTAGACATTTCCATACACATCTGTAGTACATGTGCAAGAGGTTTTCTTGGGTTTGAACTTAGGGGTGATATTTTGCTGGGTTATAGAGTAAATAAATGTGCAGCTTTCATAGATATAGCCAAACTACTTTCTGAAGAGGTTGTACCAGTTCACAGTCCATTAGTACCAGTGTATGGGACTTGTAGTTGCTCCATATTCTTGCCATCACTCATCATAGGCAGACTTTATTTTTGCCAATTGAATGGGTATAAAATGGGATCATTGGAATTGTGATTTCTGTGTTCCTGAGCCCTGACGTTGAATATCTCTTCATAAGCTCATTGACCTATGTGTTTCCTGTGAAAATTTGTTCATGGTTTTTGCCAATTTTTTATTATTTACTGATTGTAAGAGTTCTTTGTAGATTCTTGATTTTGAGCCTTTGTTCATATTGTGAATATTTTCTTCCAGCTTGTATTGTACTCTTTCTACTTTATTTAAGACCTCTTTTGGGATGCCTGGGTGGCTCAGTGGTTAAGTGTCTGCCTTCAGCCCAGGACGTGATCCTGGGGGCCTGCTTCTCTCCGCTTATGTCTCTGCCTCTCTCTGTGTCTCTTATGAATAAATGAATAAAATCTTAAAAAAAAAAATCTCTTTTGTAGAATCATCTTAATTTTAAGATAGTGGAATTTTGTTGTTGTTTTTGTAGTCAGTGTTCTGTGTCTTGTTTAAAAAATCTTTCCCTGACCTTAGTCCTTGCCTTTAAGGAGCCTCTGCCCTAGTGGAGGGCCTGGTAGATAATTGCACTCAGATGTTACATGGATATTGATTGTTAGAAGTGGCCACTTCTGCCTGTGGGCAGAGTGGGTATAGGAAAGATTTCACAGGGTAGAGCGTCTCAAGCTGTAGTTCCTCCTTGGGTGCTGGGGAAAGACATGTCTGCAGAGGACAGAGGCACTTTCCTACTTCTTGACAGAGAAATGGGTTCAGAGAGGTATTTTTCAACTTTAGGACAGTGGGAGCATGGTGATAAGATGTTGGGGAAGCTGTAAACTAACCACTCCAGTTAGTTTGCACGTTATCTCTGGCCGTTTTCACACTATCGTGGCAGGGTTACATCAATGCAACAGACCCCCTTTGTTTTGCAAAGCCTAAAATATGTACTCTTTGGCCCTTTAGAGGAAAAGTTTGCTGAGTTCTGCCATGATAAGTTGTGGTAACTGTGGTAACCTGATGAGTGTGTCCCAGCCACCACAGTGGTTCAACTAGTTATTGCTGGATGGGTTATGAATCTAGGTCAGCACTGCAAGTGTTGCCAACTTTTCTACTTTCCAGAAGCTGAAAATCTGGATTTTTTTTTTTAATGGTGAATATTCCAATTTTAAACAATAACTCATTTAACAACAACAACAACAAAAAGAAACCCCTGAAAACTGTCTAGGCCAGGAAAAACACACCTGGCAGGCCGATGTGTCCAGCATGAGCATACCTCTTCTGTCTCAGTGGGTCTGGAAATGATTTGGGTTTCCTTATTCCTGTGGATTCTTGGGCAGGTTGCTTATCTTCTTTTGCCTCCTGTCCTCATCTCTAAAGTCAAGACTGGCGCCCAGTACCACAAGGCTTAAATAAGAACCCGTGTAAGGTGCTTAGTGCCTGGTGCCTTGTAAGCTTAGGTTGGTGACCATCACTGTTAGTCCTGCCACTGCTTTTACTGCTGTCCCATTTTGACCCCCTGTGTAGGCCTGGGGATCAGGGCTGTGTCTGACTAGCTGCCAGTGGCCACATTGCTCCTGGCAGAGAAGGAGCCGGCATGGCAGGTTCTCAGTGCTGGTGGAGGAGGTTGCCTACAGGGAATCAAAGATTACTAGGGCCTGCCCCCTGGCTACCCTGGGCTTGCTTTTTTATTTATTTATTTATTGAGAGCACGAGCAGGGGGAGGGGCAAAGGGAGAGGGACCAGGAGAATCCCAAGAAGGCTCGGTGCTTCACTACAGAGCCTGAGGCGCGGTGCAGTCTCACAGCCCTGAGATCATGACCTGAGCTGAAATCAAGAGTTGGACGCTCAATTGACTGAGCCACCCAGGCGCCCCACCCTGTGGCTTTCTGAGGCCTACTGGGAAGATTCTGCTCTGACCTGCCCCTGGAGGGCTTAGGCAGGCCGCCGCTAGTAGAGGAGTTGTCACTTCCCTTCCAGCAGCCCGAGTGTGAGGGGCAGATTATGTATTAGTGTCCTCCATCTTTCAGAAATTTAGTAAGTTTTGGCTGGCCCTGTCTTTAGCCATCTGTTTTTTTTTTGTTTGTTTTA